ATAGTCAGTTGGGGGCCACACACAAATGAGAGAAAAAAACAACCCCAACCTCCCTCCCTCCTCCCCCCCACTGATGTGGCCCCCAACTGAGGAGAAAGATACTCCCCACATCTCCTTTGCACACCAGAGCCTAGCGAGGCTCAGCCTAGTAGATTGTGTGCTTCATCCCCACAGGAGGTAGCAGGGGGGCTTGTGCACCAACCCATGTTTCCCAATGCTATGGGGGCAATGGAAAAGGGCTGAACCTCAGGGGGCTGGATCCAGGCAAGTAAGCGGGCTGCATTCAGCCCCGGGCCTGAGATTCCCCACCCCAGTCTATCCCAAAACAGATGGCAGTATAATGTTGGCAGTATAATGTATATGTGTTGGCAGTATAATGTAGCATGATCTTCTCTTTCTAAGGCTGTGCATTCCAGTGCTTTACTCTAGCGTTTAATTCAGTTTACTGTAATATTAATAACTTGACATAGTAACGGAGTTACTGGAGACTTTATTAGTATGCTAAGTATGCATGACAAATGAAAACGTCTCAATGTTTTTATTTTCAAAGGGAGTAGATTTCAACATCTGCTAAACAGATTGGGGCACCAGGCAAATAATGCCCCGGCAGATCTAAGACTGCGATGTTTGGATGCCATATCATCTCTTCTTTATTTGCCGGTAAGTCATTTAAAATGTAGAGAAATGATACTATTGTGTGTTTGTAGAGGTAAGTTAATGTTTCTTAACGTTTGCTGGTTTTGTAATGAACTCTGTCTAAATTATTGAAAATGTTTAATTTGCCAGTGGAGAAGAGTAACACTGTGGGTTTTAATTCATGTAAGCCAAGTGAGTGTGCTTACCAGACGTACAATAATGTTTTAGCTAAATAGTGCCTCAGTCTGCCACGGGTACCCCCCACATCTCCTCTTTAATCGGTGAATTAATTAAACAGGATTTTACATCCCTAGCATGTAGTGTAATACTTATGGTTTAAAGGGACATTGTCAAACTACATGACCACATTTTAATAAGTGGGTTGTATAACCCACTCCATTTCATGTAAATAGAAGTGGTTTCAAGTTGTGTGTTTTTTTTTTTTTTAATTTTTTTTATTTAAATTAAACATCCTCATTTAAACTTCCCCTGCAGACTTGTGAATTCCAGCAGGAGTATTATTTTAATCCCTGAGAATCAAAAAGTGGAAAAAATTTACCTTCCAAACTAAGTAAAATATAAGTAGTAAACTAGTGGGAAAAGTAAATTTTATACTTAAAATTCTTTGTTTAACCTGCTGTCGGCTTGGTGACTGAGTTTAAATTTTTTCCCCTTTGTAATTACCTTCTCTCTTGAGGAGGAATACTAAAAATGCAAAAAATATTAATCACAAAGTTTTTAGCCTTTTTCATATTTTCCCTTCATGTGTAGCCGGACCAACAGACAGAAGACCTTCTAGGAATGACTGAATCTTGGTTTGCTGCCTTATCTAGTCAGCCAATGGAACTCTTCAGGAGTATTAGTACTCAACCATTCCCTGATCTTCACTGTGGGGCTTTACGAGTCTTTACTGTAAGTTTCCTTTTTTTTAAATTTAAAAATGATCCTGAGATTTTCATTGTCTTTCCTAGTCGTAGCATCAAGTTGTGTGTAAATATTTTCTTGGTAGATTTATTGTATCTTAATCTTGAAACTATAGTTTACAGAGAGATTTCAGTTTGTCCATTCCTCACAAATCAGACCACAACCTAAAGAGCATCTAAACGGCGCACCAAATAAGTCTGGTCTGTCTCTCATATCCTCTTATAAACTAAAATTGAATTAATTTTTAAACTCTCCTTGCTGTTTGGTGCCACGAAAGTCATGATCCATAATTAATTTACAATCTAAAGGGGCGGGGGGGGGAGGGGGAATTAACACTAGACTATGTATCCAGTATTAAAGTACTGCTGCTTGATTGGATAGTCGTAATGCCTTATTCTAGGCTCCTTCCTCCAGTATTTGATTTCAGTTGTATATTGCATATTTGCAATTTCAGGTGCATATTTGATTTCGCTTGTGTTCTCATCCATGACTGTAGTTTAACAGTCTATGCACTGTATTAGTATATTATGAAAAATCCAAACTTGATTATTTTTCTTCTCTTGATGTTTAGGCTATTGCCAACCAACCATGGGCACAGAAACTGATGCTTGACAGTCCAGGATTTGTGGAATATATTGTGGACAGAACTGTGGAACGTGACAAAGCTTCAAAGGATGCCAAATATGAACTGGTTAAGGCCCTTACAAATTCCAAAACAATAGCTGAAATGTTTGGAAACCAGTACTACTTAAGACTGAAGTCTTATCTGCGGGAAGGTCCTTATTATGTTAAAGCTGTTTCTACTACTGCTGTGGAAGGAGCAGAATAATATCAGAGTTATTACATTTTTCACTTTTAGAATTCCAGTATTACTGGGGACAGTGGTAGGTCCAAAATGGCTCCAGTTTAGGTGTTCTACCCTCATGAAAGAAACTTTAGATAGCATTTGACTCAGTTGCTTTAATCTGAAAATAAATGAGAGTCAGGAGAGTAATTCTCACAGCCACAGGGCATGGCATATCTTACTTTAAAGTATCATGGTATACATAAATTTGTTTCCTGTACATTTTATTATATTATTTTGAAAAAACATGGCCTAATTGAGATAAGAATGTTGTCAACAGCTGATACACATTTTGTATTGCAGAAAGTATTGGTCTTTGTTTAAAAGTGAGCGTTTGATGCTTGGTGATCCCATTGCGTTGTCTCACTGTGCCGCAATTGGAGGGGGAAAAAGTAATTTCATAACTGCTACAGTAACTTTTTTTTCCTGACATGCCATCTGAATGGAAAGTACTTTTGAATTAACTGATCACAGCTATCGATGATCTAGTTTATTACAATTACACTAGCTACATTCGAGGGCTTTTATGCCTATGGGAGATATAGTACAAAAGGATTTTTTCTTTTTCAGTGAACAAACAGTTCTGAATGTTGTTTACATCTTATGATGGAAGTGAACACGAAAAAGATTACATTTTTAAAAATGATGTTTGCCAAAGTGAGTGACAAACTAAATTGGAAGTGTTTTTGTTAGGGCTGCTTCTTTGTACTGCAATTAAGATGATGCGTTTAAGGGCATTGTATGAACCACAGTCTATGGGTCAATCTATTTGTTTGCTTAGGAATCAGATTTTAAAATGATAACTTAAAATTTAAAAAGTGGCCTATTTTGATTGAAATGACATTAAAACCTATTTATAATCTATTTCAACTTCAGTAATGTTAGTTGGAATAAAAGTGATAAGAGAATAAAGCCTTTAAGGGCATAACATTAGTCATGGAGAAAGTAACTAAAGGCTATAACCTATTATAATATGTTATACCACATAGGTTTTACACATTCTTCTGGAGTATAGTTTAACTACTATGGAGGACAGGATTCCAGACTCGATGGGCCATTGCTGTCTTCATTATGTAATGTTGTTTGGTCCACAAATTAAGACTATTATATTGTTCTTCCTTAGTTTAGACAATGAATTGCCTACTACTTTAGTTCCAAGGGTGAAAAATAAAATCAGTGGAATACTTGAAAAATGTATTAAATGAAAAGTAAGGTAACCACAGAAAGAAGTAATACAGATATTAAGTTGGAGGTCTGTACAGAACTAGCTTTCTCATTTTCCCCCCCCCCCCCCCCCCCCCCCCCCGCACCTCTCCTCTGTTAAGCCAGTAAGAAATGGTGTTGGGCTGCAGAGGAAACAACATCCTGCTGCCTCTTGCCAGATGGTTGCTTTGGTGCAGGACTTTGCAATGCTGTGCTAAGTTGCAGGAGGACTTGGTAAAGCTAGAGGGTTAAGGCATGGGAGAGGAAAGGTAATAAGTAATATACTAGCTAGGTGCAGAATAACTTGTGCAACATATCTGTCACTTATTCTTGTGAACTGGAATTTTTTTAAAAAAAGGTTTCAATAAAGTTTGTCAGTAGTGGCACATAGGTCCTATGATTGTAGGTGCCCAATTAAAAAAGGTTTCAATAAAGTTTATATCAATAGTGGCACATAGGTCCTATGATTGTAGGTGCCCAATAGACACCTTAGATGTTACCTCTAACTGCACAGACTGCATTGGCTGTAGTTTGCTTTTTATATGGAAACGGCTAATGCTTGCACTGTGCCAATGGAAAACAGTCACCAAAAATGTTAGAAATCTTGCACGTGGAAAAGCTTTAAAACATTAAGCTTTGTTGAAAATAATGTAAAAATACTTTACACTTGGGTTGGCTAGTATAACTTCATTATATAAAGTGGCACTTGTGTGCTGGCAGCTATCTGAGTGTACTGACATTTCAGTAAACTTCTACAATTCACGAATCTCTCCCTTTATATGATGTGTGAGCATGTGCAGTTGTCACTTATGAAAAGTATTGTGTTCGTAAACACTGATACACATTGGCTGCATATGTTATATTTGTAGTTGCAACATTTTGGTGCCACAGATGTTTTCATGTTTGTATATTATACCTTTTTTGGTGAGCTTTACTAAAAGCTGCCATTTGCTTTGATTCCGAGTGAGAAGGTATGTATTTTTTCTCCGTTCTGACAAATACAGAGACTGATCTTTCAGTCAGTTACCACAAGCCATTGAAGTGCTGTTCTGTACTCCTCCATCAAAGCTACATGGCTTGCATGTTGTTGATAGCATATAATGTGCAGAGATGAGAAATAAAATAACTATTTTTTTCTCCTTCGTGGTGAAAGGAATAGATGGCAGACACATAAAGAGGGGAAAAAGATCACTGCTCTAATGCAGAGAGTGGGAATGAGAAATCAGGAAAATGACTTGGCAGAGTCTGCATAGGGACAACCAAGAAAGGTGTAAGCTGAATTAGCTAAAGGTGTGAATTTAAAGTAGATTAAATTAGTTAGGCCCCAGTGTAGACGCTCCTATTCAGAATGAAAATGACTTTAATTCAACGTAGGTAATTCACTTCAAAGTGAAATAAACTGAATTAAGATCACTTTAATTCTGAAGCTGACTGTCCAGTGGTTTAATTTTTTCAGCTTGTTCCCATGTAAATAAGCACAAAGTAAAGTGCAAACTGCCATAGATGTCTTATTTTAAATTCTCCAAAGTAAACTTCTGATACTCTTGCTCAGCAGAATAACTGCATTGAATTAATAGATGAAGACTTAGTGTGTTTTCACATACTCTTTATCTTATTAGAACTGTTGAGAATGTGTCAAAGTAAGGGGGAAGGGTCCCCTTTTATTATCGAAAATATCAATGGAAGTAAAATCTACAGAAACTGCTGACTTCATTTAAAAAAAAAGTTATTGGCCCAAACCAGAATTGTCTTGAAATATTTTCATGACCACCCAATTTTCTGCCAAAAAGCAATTTCAATGGCTTTTTTTAACCAACAGTCATGTAAGACCAATGTAATAAAACTTGCAATTTAAGTCCAAGATATGAGTGTAGCTCTTCTATTAGCTTCATAACTTCTGTGCTGCTGCTTTTGGTAGTCATCGCTTTGAGGTTCTTTTGCTTAAGTAAAGCAGTTGCAACTTCTGTCCTGCTGCTCTTGGTAGTCATCGCTTTATGAGGTTCTTTTGCTTAAGTAAAGCAGTTGGGAAACTTGTGGTATTCTGTTACTTAGAGCTATTCTGAGCAAAGCAGTCCCTTAAATGCCTCCTGGAGCTTGTCTTTTATGTTCCCACAAGTGGAACAGAAAAAACGTGAGGCATTTTGCCTAAATTTCCCTACCATAGCAAATTTTAGATCTGTAATAGTCTTTAGTAATGCTTTCTTGTCTACCTTTAAATAAAATCTGAGCTCACTTGTTACCTTCTCATCCTCAATAATCCTCATGCTGTCTCATCTGATTTCTTCTCCAATATTTTATCTAGACAAATTTTGCAGGTCAGAGCACTTCATTATCTGATTCTAAAGTACTGTTTAAAGGTTGTGTATACCTTTTTATAAACGGTTATGCTTGGTTGTCCCCATTTGGCAAAGCTGTGATTGTTGCAGAGATTCATCTATTAATTATGCATGGGCTAAGATGTGGGAAGGCCACATTCTGCCCATTATTTTTTGGATCTGACAGCGAGTCTTCTCTGGAAATCATTGTACTATGCATCATTTGTAATGGTCTTGCGTTACTTGAAATTGGCACACTCATGCCTGAGGTGATGTCTATACTGGGAAGATTTGGCGACAAGACTGCTGTGGACATGGAAAAGTTGCCAAAAGTGAAAACCAATCAAACTAGTTTTTCTACCTTCCGTTGTCGACATTTCATGGCCATATTGTGAGCATCCTGTGGACAGATAAAGCAAAGCAATATGGGTAAACAGTGCAGTGTTGTGGGAAGGCAGA